GGAAGCTTCCCGGTACCAGGTGGACTGATGCATATTTCGATGCTCGAAGAAGATGTTCATAATGGACAATCCGTTGTTTGCACAAAACCGCAGCAACTTCATGCCGTTGGTGTTGAGGTCGCTGGGGCCGTATTTTGTGGTGGCTGGGCCGTCTTTTGAGGTCGCTAGGGCCGTCTTTTCCAATCACGCCATTCCACTGTTCAGCGTCTACTCCGATGTGCGCATTAAAATTGGCTATCAGTATGAGGGACTCTGTTTTCGGCACTTCGGACAGAGCACAGCGCACTTCCTCAAGGAAGGTGTCACATTCCCCCTTCAAGTTGGGCGCGTGGACATTTACCAAGGTCTTCGATTTAGGCTGTAGTATCTTCATTCAAAGGAATACCACCTTTCCGCTGACGGGCTTCCAAAGGATTCTATCGGAAAGGTATGGTTCTACCAGTAAGTCAGCACCGGCCTGATCGCGAGTCGTGATATCGACTCCTCAATAGAACATTTTCCATCCATTGAGGTTCAGGAGTCCAGAGCCTGGACGTTTCGCTGACGAGAGTTCAACAATGTCGAGTTGGTAGTTTATGGCCTCATTAGGCTTTCATTATATTCGCAAAACACTTATACACTGGATGGGCGAACTCCCTGATTTCTGTACAATCTGTCGTAGGTGATATTTGGACAGATTTGTTTCGGCCAGACCGAAATCTACACTGCTGTTCTTTCATCATAGAATCAGTTATTCCGCGTCAGTGGGTTTGAAACCCCTTTGACACGGGCTATACTCGAAAAGCCCAATTAATGATGCTACAGTGACTGGAGCACTCTCTCTGGTCTCACTTCTTGAACATGGGTACTAGAACTTCAGTTTTCCAATTTAATTGTGACTTTTCTGTAACTAACGCAGTTTGGTAGTCATGTGCAAGACAGCAAATGCCTTATTTGTTAATGCTTAAAACAATTCATGGCGGATTTCATTCATTTCTGCACCGTTTTCTGTCCCTTGCAGCTGTGCAGACTGCCAGATGTTGCTCGGGGTTAACGTACTGTCTGCATAGCTTAGATCGTCTCCATCCTCGGCAAACGCGTGTCGAGAATTGTCCTTCGTTACTTTTAAACTGCCCGTCTTTCCACCTAGGCGCCGTCGGTGAGTCTTACAGAATATCTTGCTTGCCGTCTGGAAATTCGACTCAGGCACTCCACCGAACTTCTTCTAGAGATCAGCTTTGGTTTTCACCACTGCTTTTGCTGCCACCTTGTGTGCTTATATATACTGCATGTGGAAATGAAAGTCACTGTTTCCGGAATAGAGCTGCATTATTCTGTCGATCATTTTCTGATGTACATTTTCATGAATGCAGCTAATGTGCATGTAAGCTCAGTGTCTGACTACTGTATATCGCCAGTGGGAAGATCAAAATACGCTTTCTTCTAATGTGTACGAATTGTCTCGATGTGTCAGTGTCATGCGCATATATTCATGTACTTACGTAATCCAGGCGAGTTTAGTCTGTTTTAAGATTAACTTTGTTTCAAAGATGAGCATTTCGGGAGATATTTTCAGTTGGTTGCAGTTAATGTGCATTTAAATACTCAATATTATATATTCTCGAATTTTGCAAAATGCTAGAAAGTTCTTTACTGCACTTAATAAGATTGATCCAGTTTCAGAGGTGTTTTGTATTATTTTAATAAAATTTGATAAAATAAATAAACTAAGTTATTAACCAATATAATGATGTGTACATTTAGTTTTATGAATATGATTGTTGTTTGGTCAACGGCCGACTTGTGGATGATTAGAATACTGCGATCCACAAGGAGACTGCACGGTTTTATGCCACTAAAAGTTGCACGGCTTATTTGGCATTCGTGCAGCGGCATCAATGTTGGATCCTGTAATCGTATGGCGGCACAGAAATTTTATTTGAAATAAGATGATATTGTCACCGAATACAACAGAAATGAGCAAGCAGAGGTATCAACTAGAATAACGCGCGAATGATCAAACATAAAAATGGGTAACCGAATGAGGTATGAGGCCGAATTCTTCCTCCGAATGCACCCAATTGCACGAGTAACTTTCTGAGAAGCTCTGAATGTTTGCAGGGTGACATTGATGATTCACGATTGAGTTTCGTTCATGCTTGTGTTCAAGTGTCGTTAAATGCTTTAGAAAATAATATACAGGTTTTTGTGGATTACACATTATGCTTATCGTACCGACAATCATCTGTCAGGTGGGTCAAGGCGAAGTGCTGCCACACGAGGAGTTTGCATCGGATAGTGTGGCCGTACATTTCGTTTACTCTGGTATGATCACACTAGAATAGCATGTCTCTGTTGTATGCATATCAGCGTTTTGCTTTCCGTTTCTCGCCGATTGCACTAAGGTAAAGTGGGGTATATTCCTTGCTCAAGTAAGTTCGCTGCTAAAACAAAGACAACAGATTAGAACGTAGGGGATGCTCGCCATCATTATGAACCTCAGGAGCCTTAGATGTAATGCTCTGGAGGCAATAACAGATATAGTCGTTGCCACAGCGGCCATTAAGCTTTAAAATCCTAAAACACTGAATCATATCCGATAATTCGACCTTGCACATTTGTTAAAGTTTTATTTTGTTTAACGCTAGATCACGATCGCGAAAGTGGTGACTGGTCCATAACAGCATTCATTTCGAGGCAAGCTTAGCGACAACATAGTGTATTTTTGTGTATCCACGCGCAAAAGTTTTTCGTTTAACTGTCATAGCTGTAGAGATTCACGACTCGGTCACGTTCTATTTCAGCTAAAAATTAACAGCTAATATTCGGAGCCGAAGTAATTTTTGTAGGCATTAATATGCCAGCATACACTTGTAATTGGTCTTAGGTGACCAAGTAAGCGGGTTAATTTATGCTTATGAGCAAACGAATAATGTTTTGGAGTTTCCTTATTTTATCGTTCATTGACAAACATCTGTCTTTGAGGGAAAAGCCTTTGAAAGAAATATCATTTTGTTTTGTTTGAAGTGCCTCCATATATCTCCCAGTGTTCAATGTTTTGAAGCATGCAAAATATAATGCCATTTGGCAGTGTCTAACATTGATAGACTAGAGTATAGCAGTGACTGTAACTCTGGTTCATGGGTTTATTGTTTTGGGTAGCCTGTGTTCTTAGAACTGATAGCCTGATAATAAGGTATAGGACCGATTGTCTTCAGATGCAATTCAGCAGGTTAAAAATATATGACGATAAATGGTACTAATCAGTTAGCATGGTCGAAAACCATTCATGAATGCTAGCAGAGTGCAGGTAGACTAAGTTTTAAACGTGGTTTTAGTAAGTAATTAACTCAGTCTGACCGATTTTCATATCTTATTGCCTTGCTTCTGGGTAAGTATGGGCCAAGATTGTATTATTGTATTTTGGCCTACAATACATCGTTTACAATTCGCATCATTTTATTGATTAGCGTAATATCTTGCACGTCACCAGCGATGTTTCTGAAGGTGGTACTCCTCGTATGCTCTAGCAGCAGTTGTAACTACACCGAATGTCAGTGCATTCGAAACTTCACTATACCAAAGTTTGCAGCATTGTGGCACCGCCCTCTTAGTCCTGGATGCCTAGAGAGGAATTTATGCAAAT